TCAGAAGGTCAAACACTCTCACTGTCACCACCTTTTATGAGGCTCCTATATCAGCAATATCAGTAACCACCTCCAATATCTACAAGATACGGGTCAGAGAGTCTAGGTTTTTGGGTCATTACTATCGGGCTTTAAATAAGTAACCTATTTACTGCTCGACAAGACAAGAACATTAGCCGACTTCTGAAAAAGACACCAACAAGTATGTTCCATGCTTTTTATAATCGGAAAAAAGGGGTCTAGACATGACTGGACAGTTGCACAAGCAGCTCGGATTACATTTCCTGTTCTGTTTGGTAAGCCCACTTAAACAGCACGTGTTTTCAAGAACAACATCAGCTGATGAAGATGGGAAGAAGCCAACTGGGGTTGCAAGAAGTGATGATGAATGGCAAAACAAGGGGAAAAAAAGAGTTACATACACAAGATAAATAAAGAACAGAGCATGTAAAATGAAGGAAAGGAAACTGACTGCTTCCAGGTTCTCTGTTACCAAAGGGCTACAACACACCAGACTCTATTGATAGTCACCAGCAGAGGAAATGCACACCATTACACTGGCCACCAACAGATAGAGCAACACAACAGGGAAAGGAAAAAAAAAAAAGCCAGCTGGTAAGAAGAGACAGGGAGACACTGTGCCTGTGATAGACCAGCTCAGTGAATGTTACAGACAAAAGAGGCAGCGGTGACGGAAAGTAGGCAAATAAAATCAAGAAACAAAGACAGAGTGCATGAAGACCGTGTCAAACCACACAATTGACAAAGTGGGCTTGAGGGGACTGAAAATGTCTCTAGCAGTACTATCTTAGTGTCTGTCTGATGCCAGGATCACAATATTCTTTGGTTTAAGGTTGGGTAACAGTCCAAATACAAAGTCCACTACTGAGCTCTTTTTGTGTAAGTCGTCCCCTGGTATACAGTCCTTTGTTTTGCTGGTGTAAATATTGTCTTGCTAAAACATTCAAAGCATAATGCCTGCAGCAGATATTCAACTTCTTGTCTAATAAATACCATATGAGCCTAACCAGAATACAAACATTTTACAACCCTGATAATGAAATGAAATGAATGAAATGAAATGATAAGACTTATATGCTGTATTTTTATGCATCAAGATTTCTTGAAAAGTCAGACAAGACCATCAATACCACTCTTTTATTTGTCTTGTCAATGCAAAGCTTAAGACGGAAACTAAGAAAATAGCTAGCCTGGCTCGGTTCAAAGTGTTACGATCTGGCTCATGGGCCAGAACGTACAGCGAAAAATGACGCCAGAGTTGACTAAAATGTGGATTTTATCTAAGGGATAAAGTGCAGAAGCAGAAGCAGTCATGAGAGGACAGTGAGCTCCAGCAGCAAGAGAGTGAAAAAAAGCAGGTCTCCCCAGTCATGCGTTTAATCTACATTTCCTCAGGCGTGAAGCCTACACACCACTGCTGCACTACCGCCACATACATTTTTATTATGACTTGAGCCATCTATGTCACATAAGACATACAAAGTACATGGGCTGTCTCTGTTATTTTAGCCACTATCTTTCTTACGAAGCTGGTTGACTTGTGTGCTTGATATAAAAATGGGCAAAATGTTCTTTAAAGGTTGTTTGTTCACCCCCAAATCTTCAAAGTGAAAACAGTTGATTTTAGTGAATATGACAGTCAAGAATCTGGGCACCAACAGAAGCCACCTGTGCTACTGTACTCTGCTGAGTTCTGACTGGGCTCTACAGCCATTTGCTCCTGGAAGAGGTTATTACATGAGCAGGACTGATGGAAAGATGAGGACATGGGTGGAGGAGTGGAAGGGTGGATGGGCTGATCAGCAGGGTCCCAGCGGGAGGCTTACGCAAACACAGGAAGTACCACTACTATGTGGGAAGTGCTTCATCATCACTTCAAATGTTTCTGCCTCGCTCCCCACTTCTCCCTTTGTATATACTTAGTGAAAGTACACTAACGTGTAAGGGGCTGTTAGAGTCAACTCTAGACATTTGAACAAACAGATTTTACTGTATTATATTTATGGATTTCCGTAACAGAAGATATTAACAGCACAGCAGTTGGAAGAAAGCTGACATCAGGATTTGTCAGAGTTCTATCTAGCCATAATTATCTTCTGTTGTATGTTCCTCCTATGAGAGACATTATAAACAAGACAAATGAAATCTAATCATTTATTTATGACGGCAGCTATTTAAAGATTCCCAGTGCTATACAGGTTGTATTTTAAAAACTACAAATACAAACATCTGATTAAGCTGTGTGGATGAGGGCTGGTGCATAAATGCAACCAGAGCCTCTCACAATGCCCACTATTGGTCAGGGATGAGCAACCCATCTCTTAAACTAATAGTATCATTATTGCACTACAACAGCATAAACACCAAAGCCACAGATAAATGGTAGAGATGGTGAGCTTTGAAAAACACTTAGCCTTATATTCTGCCTCCAGAAATGTGTTTATTTTAAAAGCAGTTTTTTAATTCACCAGGGTCTGAGGGTGGAGTATGTGCCAGGAATACAATACGACTACTAGGTGCTGAACACAGTCAGAGGACAAGGTGGTCATTTATAGCATGTGAACATGGGCACCTCAGATGGGCATCAGCAGTTTACTGACAGTGTGGTGACAGTTTCTGGCCAAAAACATTAAAAATGATTGGCTTGGGTGTTGGAATCTATTCTTAAAAATGCACCACATTCCAGTTTGACATCCAGCTCTTTACAGCCTTGATGTGGAGGAAACCCATAGGAGGGACGTTTGGAAAAGCCGTGCCCCATGATGATGGACAGAACGACTCGACTATGATTGCACAGCACTATGGGTCATTAGTCACATGAGTGCACAAGCAGTATGGTATGTACAGTATTATTAAAGCTTTCAAAGCCTCATAGCATTTGTCTGAGCTAATGGCTCATATTGTATGCAACAGAACATAATGCACTTCTCTCTGCAAATAAAACCTGTTAATCTACTTTAAATTATACACCTTGGGTTGAATGAATGTAACGGCTGTGTCGGTGCCTGGCGTTGAATAGCAGACTAAACTAGTCCGGTCTGTAACATTATGTGCATTTCAATCCGTCACAAGGTGTTTACTTAAAATCAGCTTGAAAGAGCTTGAGAGATCATCTGTATATAGAAACCCAGAGCAACCGAATGCAGCTCACACAGCAAAAATAATAACTTCAGTTTAATCCACTTAAGTCACTTTAATCTAAATAATTAACTTGTGGTAATAGTAAATAAATCAAACAATAAATAGTAATTTGTGTCAAACTTTCAAATAAAGCAGAGGACATCAGATTCCATCTAAACTGATTAACCCCATGAGCCCTATATATACTTCCAGCATAATGTCACTACCTTCATAAAAGCTAAGCATACATGTTAGTTGTTTTTTTCTAGGCTATCCAGATCTTGCATCATTTGACAAGATAAAACTTACAGATTTTGTACATTAGCAATTTATATCAAGAGAAAAAACATGCTACATAGTTGAATTGTTATTGTTGATGCAGGCAGCATTTACTATATCCCTGCAATGAGGAATTATTTCAAAGAATGGATGTGGACATGGACTGCAGGTTGTAACTATGACTACAGTTGATGTAAATCAAAAGATTCATTTTTTTTTTGCCGACCCTTCATCACACAGACAAGCAACCGGCATTGCTCGAAAGGTCAAGCCGTGCAGTTTCATTTGATATGCGCAACACCTCGCTGCAATAAACAGTTCCAATTCAACCAAAACGAAGGGATGTGAATTTGGATGTTAAGAGCTTCTGCTGTTGGTTAGGTTACTTTAATTAATTTGATAAAATAAATCAACTTACAATCATAATGACAATCATCTGGTGGTCAGTTGTATCAATTGCTGCTGGTGTAGTGGTATCATGTAAGATTCCCTCTCCTGCAACCCGAGTTTGATTCTTGGGCGGTGCACATGTTTCTTGAATTTAAATTATTGCAAATTTCCTACTGCAGGATTAATAAAAGCTTATCTTAATTAAACAAGTAAAAAAAGACGATCTCAGATGTTATCTAAGCTGATTTAAACATTTCTCAGTGCCCTCTTTGCTGAGAGAACATTAGCATAGTCAACCTTGATGATTTAACAATTTGAGGAGACAAGCTGCTGCTCAGACCGGAATGTCCAAATATCCTGAGTAAAGTGATTAAGATGCTGATGTGATGATCTTCTAGCACTGGTCAGTAAATATTCTGCTGCTGTTAAGATACAGAACAGCAGGCTGGAAAACAGACAACTAACACTGACTGTTAATTGACTGACAGACTCAAGTGTCAGTTGGTGTTTCTTGGTAAAGAGACTCAATCTTCCCTCACTTTTCAAATACTATAATAGTACTGAGTGGTGTTTCTCTATGGAATATATTTTACAATATGTACAAGTCACTGGTTTTAATCCACATTTCCCAGAAGAAAAGCCAAGAGTTCCATTTTGTTCTTTGTATAACTCACAACATGAGTTTAAAAAAAAAAAAAACCTTTAAAATCAAAAATGCATTTTAACAATGCTGACTCTGTCCTTGATTTTATGAGGTGTAACAGGGCATTTCATATTTTGAAGGGGTAAACTGTTGCAGTGGTGCAGTCTAACACTCTGCACCACCAAATGTGTGGAGGCTGCACAGCACAACCCTGACTGCTAAACTGTGAGATTGAACCACAGCAGTGGCACAACCCTGAATCAGCGATCTGAGGTTGTTGTTTTTTTCCCCTCAGCATTAAATTAAAGGACTAGCCAAGAGCGACACTGATCCTCTTGACACAGATAAGAGATTTGTGGATGGAGGTTAATTTGAGTTTTTCTAACTCAGACAGATACTGGGACAGCCATGGTCATTCTGTCTACCAAGAAACAGAGCGCAAACAGTAGTCAAAAGACACACGTTTCAACCCTGCTGCATAATGAAAACACACTTAATTCCTCATTAAACGTATCTCTCTTCAGTGCAGTAAAGATTTTAAACTTACCTGGACATCGTAAAGTGCCACAATATTTTCATGCTGCAGCTCCTGAGTAAAAGCAGCAGAAAAACAAGATATATTAGCACCAACATTAACTAGGACACAGCAGCCAATGGGATCACTTTCATTGATATTTCTATCAGGGATGTCAAGACCCTTTTCTGTTAACAGTGCAGATTTACACTAGGCCAATGTCAGATAATTCTCTAAGTAACCTGAAGAGATAAATGGGAGGCAGTTCAGTGTCATGCTCACCTTCAGTATTTTGATTTCCTTGCCAAGAAGGATCTGGGACTTGGACAGGTTCTTCTTATTAATGCTCTTAATGGCCACCTCCCAGTCTGTCTTCTGCACAAGACAGAAAGCAGGACAGACAAGAAAACAGATTACATGGCAGCTTAATCAAGATGTTCTTGTAAAACCTTTCAGGTTTAGTCTTTGATACAGTCATCCATCTATTTCCTCTTAACGTCCTGGTTTCCTTTGTTTTCCCACAGCCACTGGAGGAAGTGCAGGACTTTGTTGCTATTAGTAAAATAACAGTACACACGTTTGTATACGGGCTTATAAAGCTAGGTCATGCTTTCTTTCAGGAAATACTTTAGTTGATCTGGTAAGTCATTCTCCCAAACCCTGCTCATCTCAGCTTGTAATTAATGCATAGAGGAGAGAGCCTAACACACACACTCAATAAATATGTGCTATTTGCTTTACGAGCAAATATAAAACAGTGCCTCTGCTCTTGTTTTCATGGTGTCTCGTATTTTTTTTAATATTATATCATATATATTAGCAGACATGGTCGTTGTTTTAAATTATAATTTTCACATTTAATGAATCAAGACTATTTTCAGAAATCAAGGTGACATGTTCAATTTTAGAAATCAATATCAGACTATTGGATTGTCCCCATATTGTCTGGTCTTACTATCGTCACAGTCTAGTTCCTTACGTGTTTACAGTAAATGAACCCAAACACAATGTATGTGACTGTATTGTATGTGTGAATGAAAAGAGCCAAGGCCTTTGGCCTACACTGCATTCTTGGCATCACTGTGTAAGAGCTGGCTCGAAGGACAAAGGAAATTTAAGCCGTCGCAATAACACCAGGTCACTTGGTTTTCTGACAGCTCCTCCAGCCTTCTGCATTGAATGACATGCTGAATGACGAGGCACTCAGATGACAGCTAGGATGCCAGCCTACTTACGCTAAAAGCTAAGCGCGAGGAGGTGGACCTATTTTTTTCCCCTGGCCTGAGATAATGTTTCCAGATGAGCTCCTGGAGCGGGTATAAAAAGACTTCTGGAGTTCACGTGAACTCAAAGGCTCTCAGGACATGTGCTACACACGCAAACACTCAACTAAGCATGCAGAAATAAACCCAGAAGCATGCTAGACTGTTTCTATGCCCTTGAGAGACAAACACAGACAGAATGGACAAATGAAATCTGCATGACCAGTTACACAAGAGGCTAAGGAAAGGACTTCTATGAATAAAAAAAAAACATGCTTCCCAGATGAATCTAGGTTAATAGGAGATGTTCGTATTCTGCGGGTGCAGTCCGCCCAGAGCCTGGCATTGAATCCAGCACACAAGTGAGACTGCATGTGAGTGACATGAGTCCATGTGTGCGTGTGTGTGTGTGTGTGTGTGTGTAATACACAGTCAACTGAGCTGCATCTATCTCCAGCTCACTGACAGCCTACCCAGCCAACTGTGACTGAGCTGCTGACACTACACCCATAGAAAAAAAAGTGACCTCGCTGGCCCATCATGTAAAGCTGGAGGGTGAGCCAGGGGGAGGAGGATGACTTTCCTTCAAACCAAACTAATGGATCGCCACTTAATGGAGAGGTAAGCACTGCGGAGTAAGCAGTTATGCCCTGATCAGAGTCATGCTGCAAAGACAGAAGCACGCTTTCATTTTCCGAAATAATGTATGATCTCATTTATGAATCACAGCTGATTATAGACGGGTGAGCAACAAAGAGATTAGCGTCAGTAACGCTGTCACCAGACACGGCTGAAGGTGACGGCGGAAGACTGGGACTGAGAGCACAGGACTATGACCAAAGAAGGTTCAACATACTGTGCTTCACCAGAAAGCAATCATGGCAGAGTACCTGCTCCATAATAGTAGAATTAAATTAAACAGGGATAATTGAATACCAAACTGTTTTTCCAGTTCATACGTTTACATCTGGTTTATCTTCCCACACTTAATTTTCTGAATGTAGCTTGACAATATGAGATCTGATGATCTGACTTCAAATCCAACACACGGTCAAGTTTATCTTAATAGTCCACAGAATTCTTAACCTGTACAAATTATTTTCAAAAATTCAATTTCTGGTATTTAATGCATTTTTGGCTTTTACAACTATAAGACATTTGCACTTAACCATCAAAATACTTCATCAGAAATCCATCTTTTCAGGATAAGTTCAGCTACGTTGCAAAAATTGTGTGTAAAAAACAAACAAAACAAAACAAAAAAAGTGCCCCTTCAAAAACCTGAGGATGTTTGGTGCGCTTTTCTTTTTTCTGGAAAGAAACCACTTTGTCTTAATAACCTAATTTACACTGATACACTTACTAAGTGCTTCATACTCAGTGTTTACAACCCAGTGGGGTGAAGCGTTCCAATTATTATGCCAACAATCAAAACCAAACTTCTATGTGTGTAACATGTGTATATCAACATATTTCACTGTTATTTATCTATATAAAGTACAGACTAGTGACAAGTTAAAGGAAACCCCATTACAAAGTGACATTATTGGAGGGATAAACATCATTCTTTCAAAGATATTTCCTCATTTGGCGTTTTGAAGGTGGTAGAGAGCTGTCAAAATCTCCCAGAGGTGTTGAGGCCCGGTTACTGTAAAGGTCAAAATATATGAATCGCATCCTTCTCTTCTTACCCTTTAGTTTCCTATGGATAGGGGTACTGTCATTCTGGAAGAGACCACTCCCATTAGGATTGAAATATCCATCACAGGATAAAGGTGATCAGTCAGAACAACTTGGCATTGATTTGCAATGATTCTTCCCTCTAAGTGGACAAGTGGATCCAAACCAGTCCAGTAAAAAGCTCCCCCCCTGTGCACCTTTGCAGCATGTCTCACCCAGTGTTTAAACTCAACTGTAAATGTTGATGGTTTTACAGATTCATGCCAACCTCTTTGTGAGACAGTCACACTTTGGATGGTATCTCATGTGGTAGTGGTCCATCATATGTTTTAGATTTGGTACACAGTGAATGTTGAACTGAAGCTTGACTTTAACAGATTACATCACATATCAAATGGCAATGTCTGTTAGAAAAAGCCCAATTATATGTTCTCCCACAAGCCGTAATGGACAGTAGATCTTCTTTTATTTATATATTTTTATTCACACCAATTACATTTCATCCACATGAACATGAGACAGAGAAGGTCATCATTGCTGAGCTGATGCAGAGGGTCATATTTTTTGAGATGTATAAGTAATTGGACAAAATTTCACATAAAACTACATCTGAAAGAGCGGTGTTGTGCTTCTTTTTTTGACATTCGTCGTTGAACAACGATAATGGGAAATTACAAAATGCAGTAGCTGATCTCTAAGGAGCCTTTGCACAATAACTTGATATTACAGTGCAACATGAGCCCACATGTAACATCCAACACTGCCTAAGCAATGAAGCAATCCATTAGGTTTGCTGCATGCAGGTGGCTCTAACCTTCCTGCTCCTGTGAGGTGGAAACAATCCTATAAATAGGCTAAATGGCATGCAGATGATAGGACGTAAACAGTAAATACACTGATCACATGCCAGGTCTGTTTTAACATGATAGGGAGGCATGTGAGCAGTGGATGGATGCATGTATACATAGCTTAAAATGAAGAGCAGGTGATTCGTTGCCAACCTACGTTCATTTCAGGCTCTGAGCTTATTATTGATCCTTATAACAAGATAGAAGCTGCTCTGTTTGGGCTCGAGGAGGGAGCGTGGTGATGCTCTAATGCGGCTTTCATTGAGGAATTCAGGACCATCTGTTTCACACCAGTAGCAATGGGGGCAATATGATGTCATCTCCTGCATCTCAGTCACATATACACAAACAAACCCACCATCCCAGTGTCCCTCTGTGCATATGAAAGCACAACCCAGTCTAACGTAAGGATTTAATTTCTGACCGATAAATCAAATAGGTTTCAGTGCTTCAGTGTGACTGAACCTTGTGCAGCTCTTACATAAGGAGGGCTTGTATCCTTAAAAAGGCAAAAGGAAAAACACTGCACCCCATCCTCCCTCCTGCCTCAGTACGTCAGCAAGTCATTGACTGCTGCCTGACTCATCCGTTTCATGAATGAACGAAACGACATAAATACACTTACACAACTAATATCAGGCTGATGAAATAACATAAAACATTACCAGCCACAGCTTGCTTGTACATTACATCAGTCTGGATACAGATGTTTAGCCATAAAAGTGCCAGTAAATATTACCACCCCCAAAAAAACAGTCACGGTCTACATATGCTTGCTGCAGAACTCCACTGGCACTGACTGACCCAGATTTTCAAATGAAGCTGTCTGCTTGCCCTCTTTTTTTTTTTCCTGCAAAAGAAGAGAGAGATGAGGACACAAAACATTGCAGGCGAGCCATTTATTTACCTTCCTGTGTCTTCCTTTGAACACCACAGCAAAGGCTCCATGTCCAACCAGGTCTTTTCTGCTGTACTCAAAATCTCCCACAGTTTCCATTGTGGTGGGCTGATGGTGGGCACTGTTAAATAGCCTTGAATGTTGCTGTCCTCTTCAGGAAAAAAAAAAAAAAAGAGCAAAATATCCACTCAGTCCTGATGATGCTGTTCCTCGCACTGCGGGATTATTTCATGACAGGCTGCTCTGATGCCTTATTGCATAAATAAGAGATGCAGCCAGGACATGGTGCATTCACATGTCCTCCAAGTAGGATGGGATGTTTGTAATATCACACAGAGTAGACGGCTTTGAGAATGGCTAGCAACAATCCTTGAGCTAAACTGTATCAGTGCCAGCTGTCAGTCTTTGACCCAGTTGGATAGCTGCAATCCAGCTTTGCATTACGCTCCAAGGAGGTTCACTAGCATACTGTGTCCCCAGTCACCTAAACCTGTGCAGAGGGACAGTCTACATGATGCCAAGCCTAGTGGACATGACCATGCAAAGACTGAAGCAGCTGCAGACTCCGAGCTATCTGTTAGCCTGACAGTGACATAACCCTGTGGCTACACCTAGCGTCATAGCTGCAGCCCATAGCAGGTCTCTGCCAACATGCTAACGATAATATGTAAATAAGCTTATCTCGTTCGACAGTGAACACTTCAACCTGCTTCTATCTAAAACGTACAAGTTGTAGCCACCTTTGAAGCTAGCCAACATCAGCGAGCTAGTCCTGTCAACGTTAGCTTAAAACATCTCAAGGATGCAACACAAACGTCAACACAGAACTGCTGTTCATCCGAAGACGTTAGTCCTTGTTATCTGTCTTCTTCGACAAGACGGCCGAGTCCACAAGACAAAAATCTCTCTCTTCTTAAAAAAAAAACCAACACAGACGTCTCCTCAGTGGGCATTAATTTCATCCGTGTGACATAAAAGAACACTTCGTTGTTTCCTTCGTCGACAAGTCTGACAGCGCGGCTAACGTTAGCAAGGAGCAAGTGTCGCCTTCACTTACATTTGCTTCCAAGTCCAGCTAGTGTACGTTAAGCTGCAGGCATAAAGTGAGCAGTTTTTAATATGTGTACAGCGCTGTCACATCACAACACACTGCAGCTCCGTCCTCTGCGCCGTCACTTGAACAATACTGAAAGCTAGAGCCACGGTCCGCTTTTATAGGCTATCCGTCCGCGGAGGCCAGTTAAGACGTTTCCCTCCGCCGCAAGGGTTAGTCCGTCTGCTGATGCTTTGAGGGCCGATTTAAAAAAATGTGTTTAAACATATGAATTAACATCAACAATGATGCACCTTTTTGTGACTGTCAAGTGCATTTGAATAATGTGTACAAAGCAAATATTTAAAATTCCCAGACAGCTTTTAGTTTGACTGTTTCTCTCACAAAAGACTGTCCAATGACTAAATAATAATGGTAATTATAATGTCAACAACAACACCAAAAATAATAATTTACTGATATAGCACAGTTCATACTGCAAATGCAATTCAATCGGCTTTACATCCAAAAAAATGAAAGATAGAAACAATTAAGATTTAAAACAAGACAATAAAACACTAGAGTCCACACTAAAAGTAAAAAGTAGGCCTGATACCAGTCAATTACATAAAACTACATAATAATTACAAGATACGTTTTAAGGTTTCATTTTAAACCGACTACTGAATCAGAAGCTCTGACCTCCTCTGGAAGTCTGTTGCAGAGTCAAGGGTTGATGAAGCACAATGCAGCATCTCTTACAGTCTTTGGTATACATTTGATGGATTAGAGGATCTTAGAAATTAAGAAGAGGCACAACAAACTAACATATCAGATACATAGTCAGAACCTGGTCCATAAGAGATTTAAAAAACTAAATCTAAAAATGAATTCTTAATTGAAGAGGCAGCCTATATAGCTATGTAACATGCGCTCACTTTGGCTTGTTGATTAAATATATTATAGATATTAACTATATTATCTGCTCTAAATCAGCTGGAGTGAAAGAGAAGGATCATCAACATGCTCCGATCATGTATTTAATAATACTTAAATACTAACATTTTTTAAATTTGACATGTGATGAAGAAAATAGCACATCTTTTGCTACAGACACCCCCTACCGTCACTCATTATTCCATTACCATTGTTGTTAATAATTCTCTTACCTTTTGTAACTGACTGCCAGACCCTCCTTCTCTTACCATTTAGACTGCTTGAGTCAACCCCCTTTTATTCTCTTACCTCCTGTCATTAATTAGCAACTATAGGTCACCAGACCCCCTGATTCAATCACCTTTTGTTTTCTTACCTCTTGTAGCTGATTGACCACTATATGCTAACTAACCACTATTCACTTTGGTGTTTACATACAGCCACTCTCTACCCTCTGACATACCCTATTAAGTGTGGAACTCTGCAAATGTTCTGGGTCGGCTTACATTCACAGACTCACGCTCTGTGTTGGTAAGCCCACCGTATACCAGAATACTAATAAACACATGAGGACTATGGGTAAATTTCTTCAACACAGGATCCGGTATTATATCTGAAACAAGCAATGGTCTCACAAACACATGAAAAGCTGAAGTACACTCAGGTTGTGTCTGCATTATGACACCATAACATATTTTGAAAAACAAGAAAACATCTCTTGATGCCTTTTGGATGGCAGCTGTTGGGAAACACTGAACCAGCATGTTGCATGTGTTCAGTGTCTGTTTAGATTTGAAACCCTCTGGTGGCTAGAAACATAAGTTGCAGTCAAAGTTGGCCTGATTTTTTCTTTTTTTTTTTTTTTTGTGGGACATCTTTCACTTGTCACACAGTTTTAAATAGTTTGAAAAAAATAAGAGAGCTATATCTGTGACTGTCTACCCTTTAAAAGTCCTCTGTAAATGTATATTTTTGGTTTGTAAAAGCAGATTCTGCAGTGACCTTCTACTCTGATAGGTGGCCAAATTAGGGTTGGGTTTTTGGGCATTTTGCCTTTCCTGAACAGATGATAGTGGACAGGCAGATGGAAAACAAGATGAGAGACATGATGTACAACAAAGATCCCAGGCTGCAGTTGATGATGTTGCAGTTTTGTGACATGGAGTTTAACTATTAGGGCGCTATAGGATAAGTCTCTATACAGTACTAACCAAACTGTAGATGATGGTGTCAGTGTCTCCTAACTTTCGTATATACAATGCTCTTACCCAGGATTTCTAATACTCTATTTATTGCCCCCCTCTATGCTTCACTGTCAGGACCAAGCATTCACTGTGTAAGTCCTGACCAGATTCACACCAAACATGCTGGACCCTATCTGAGCCAAGCAAATTTACCTTCTGACCAAAGAACGTGCTCCCAGTATTCACCAGTCTTCTTTTCATGTCTTTTAACAAAGTCTAATCTTGTAACTTTGTGATAAACAACAAGCAAGGGTTTCTGAAAGTCTGATTTCCACCAATAACCCAAGTAGTGAACTGTCAGTGGCGTCATTTTAGGAAGACAGTCACTGCAGTTCTGATTAGTGGTTCTATGACTCATTCTCTCCTGGTTACTGCTGCAGCAGCTGTGTTTCAAACGAAATTGGTCACCAACATTTCTGTATCCTTTTCCGTTTATATGAAATCTCACAATCCAATTTCTCAGTTTCTTTGCAAATTCTTTTCCCCGTGCAAACATACAAATAGATACAGGCCCCATAGGTTTGAAATTGAGAAGGTTCTGCTGTTCACAGCTTATTTTTATAACCATGTTTATGCAAATAGACAAATTGGGAATCACTGAGGTATCAGTTTAGTTGCATCAAACTTCTAGTTTGAGGGCAGATTTTTCAATAATAATAATTTTCAAATGTTCATAAAAGTAAATACTCTTGTGGTCAATTTAGGACTAATGCAGGTGTTGGCATTTGAGTGACATTGCACATGGGAATACTTACTTTTGCTGTGTCCTTATGAGTGTGCCTACATGTATATTCTTGTGCATATGCAGTTGTTTAATGGTCTCACTGAAGAGAGAACACTACATTATCCACATGAGACTGAATGTGTCGGCCACCCCATGTTGAAATGCTCATAATATGATGATTTCAGGGAAACACTATTCAGTAAAATGCATTAAATTGCTGATGAGTTCTTCTGGAAGAAACGTTTAGCTGTGTTTCAGAAAGAAAACATTCTGTGTGGCTGCTTTTATTTGCAAAACTTAGGACAGGACATAGAGTTGTTTGCTTGCAATGTTCTGTTCTTGTTCTTTTTTTTTTTTAAGCAGATGTGTCACCACGCTGACTGTGTTTTAGTGTCTTACAAGTCCGTGTGGCCCAGGGGACTATAGATAACAGAGACAACCAAATATACTTAGCAATCAAGTGGTAAAATGATTTAATTGATGAAACAAAAAGAAAAAAACCCCACCAGTTTCTTCCACAGGTTTCACATGAACAATAATATAAAGTCCTTTTATGTCACATTTAATGCACAGGTCTGGTGTGTTTGGACAAAACCTCGATAACATCTGGAGTAATACAGGTTCTCAATTATTACAAAATTAGATAATGAGCCAAAACCGCCATTGTTGCACCAACACAGATCATTTTTGAAAAATCATACTCAAAACATGGACTGGACCTTGGATCACACTATGCCACTCATAGCTGCATGAGTTTTTTGCCTTCTGGTGGCACCCAAAATAACATGTGCTGCCCAAGACAAGGTCAGTGAGCAGATTTGAAAAACTGAATTTGTCAAGCTGTGTCTTCCCTGCATACTAGGGCCATTGGTTTGAGCCCCTTAAACTAGAAAAAGAAAAGAAAAGAAAAGAAAAAACACCAGTAGAGGTGGTCATTGCTTTGTCAAACTGTGCTAGATTATCTGTTACCTGCTGTAGGATGTTAATTCACCAAGCACCACAACAATACACCTGCTTACTCAAGGAATTATACAATCAACTATACAATTATTTTGCAACAGTGCAATGCAAAATCAAGCAGGTACAGGTTGAAGGGCTTCAGGTGTCACAGATCAAGAAAGCCTTGTCTGATGAATCTCATTATCAGTATGGATTCATCACTCTAACCTGCTACTGCTTTCATTAAACTTTGTACCTCTACATGTGATGTTGTTTGGCCTTCCAAAGTCTGCGGCAGAAAACAGGCGACTGAGGTTCTGTTAACAGGGCCCATTGGCTCTGTAATCACCTGACAGGGAGTCATGTTTACAAGCCAGTTTTTTTGTAATTGTTTTAATAATTAGCATCTTTATTAGACCATTCACCATTCTGCTTATTACTTTTCCTCATAATCTAGTGTTTTTGTAATTATCTAAAACAATGGACTACGCACCAGTCTAACATCACAATATTTTCCGGTTGCTGAGGTGATATTGAAAGTTTGCTGTTTTATTTTATTACTTTTTGAGCAACAAGACGCTTGTGCATACATGAGAGTGAGAGGAGCAGATGTAGAAGTGAAATGGTAAAGCTGTAAAGCTTTTACTGACATGTAACCCATGTTAACTAGACTTTCCAGCAGCCCAGTAAAAACACAAGGAAAGCACATCTGTATGTGTTTTGTGCTTTTATGCTGGACCACAGGTTTTACTCTTATGGCATCCTAAAGCTATCTAAAGTGAGCTAAAGAGTTTGCCCTACTGACTGCATTGCTCTGAATGCGATTTTTGTTTCATTGTGAGAGTCACAAAGACCAGACTTTTTGCATGACTGTTTTATTGGCTTGTTGTCAGATTGCACAGCTGTGTAGTGCATGATGGACTGTACTGTAGAGGACAAACAATCAGATAGAACACAATCAGATAAAAAATGCAAATGTGTGGTAATCAGGTGGGACAAGGCTGTCAGTGGCCTGTAGTAGGTGCAGTAGTTTATTCTTTGTGTGCTGTAAAGGTTGTGACCGATATTTAATATTGATGGAAGTAAACTAAAACCATGGTAACTGAACTAGGACTATCATCAGAGCAAGGACATGGATTGACATGTTGTACTGAAATGCATTGAAATTGTTCAGTTTTGATTGTTCATACTGTTAATCCTTCAGCTTACTTTGAAAGCCTTTAAAAGTCAGTGGTTTCAATCAGACTTATCAACCAGAACCTTTTTAAATGACGCTTCTTCGTCTGCGGCTGC